AATCAACATTGCACGGTCCTTTGTCAGAAAAGAGAGAAAAAAAGGCGATTTATGACTTAGGTATCGTGGTGAAAATATATACTGAAACTGTCACTGTGTCTGTAAATATTTGTTTTAAAATATGAAAGCAATACTTCATAATATCTTAGCACTATAACTATGTAAACAGTACTTAACATCGTTCTTGTGTTTTTTGGACATAGCTAGATTTGATATTTAAATTGATAATTAAATAATAAAGCAAAAGGTAAAACGAATAATGAATTCTTCGGATGTAGTCTAGTTGCATGTATTAGTAATATAGATATTACTTGGTTTTTTTTTTATTCCACGGTGCAAGACGAAGATTGGTGTGTTGGATGTACGTGCACCCATGCATGGGAATATTCGAGAAAGACCTCTATCAACTGGAGGTGTTACAACAACTCCGACCTATCAGATAGTGATAGAGAACACTGCTGAAAACATCACTGTTGGAAAGGGGACGTAGCTTGCTAGTAATCTTGCTTGTTATTGAGGGTCGGTCGAGTTGAAGCCTAGGTCTTATAATAATTGTATGACCGATCAAATCTCGGTCAAAATTTAAAGATGGGACTTCAAATACCCAGCGGTATAATATTGGAAATGAGCCGTATTCCGTCACGGCGGCAGATAACAGTATTTTCTGTCTGAAGAGAGATGACTCTTGGCATAAAATACGGATTTCCATGATGGAGGTTTTTGATGCAGGGATGGACCTCAAATGGAAATGAACCGGATGCAGTGAAACCAAGTGGAGGAAGGATCCCAAAGAGTACTCCAATGTAAACCAGGAAGTATAAATAATAGAAATATTTAGAATTTGGGTTGTGTTTTTCTTACAAAGACACCTATAGATACTGGGATGTCATCTATATCAGTTGTACAGTCTACATTAACTTAGTATATCCATAGCTATATATCACGTTTGAGTGCAATTTATGTAATACCTAACAAAAAAAGTTTGCATTTTTAAATGTTTATTTAGTATAACCATTACCAAAATGTGTTTATTCTTTTAAAGATATTAATATATTGGCTTTGTACAGCATGCATGGCTTTAATTGTTTATAAAAAAATACATGGTTTTAAAAATGGAAAAGATAAACAACATCGCTCTATAAATAGCCACTTTTTTGTTTGACGATATTCGTTCATAATCTTGTTAAATGCGAATTTTACGGAAATTGCATACGGAAATGCCATACTTTCTTGCTCTACCGCCCTCTTGTGATTTATAAAGAGAAGAGTGTCTCACTCTTCAGTTGCTCATTTTGCAATAAATTGTTGCGTCTCGTCCAACGATTGAAAGAAGAATATGGTTTTTGTGATGTGACAAAATGCGTTTCCCTGATGATGAGTGGAGAAATGAAACACGAACCGCATTTTTTTTTTTTTAAATAACACATCTTGAGCTGTCACCTATCAACAGAGGGCGTCGTTCTTGGCACTGTTCAAGCCACTATCCAAGTGTGTTTAATAATTGCACCCACACTTTATAACCAAAGTGTTTGTTTTTTCTTCTTTTGGGGTTTCGTTTAGGTACTTGTACAGTATTAGCTCATTGTTTCTACATGTAATGAAGTGAAACAGCGCTTATTTGATTCCTATATACGAATACAGGGTAAAGAGTGTAAAGTCTGTTAACCTGATAATCAATGAAAAGAATAAAAGATAATATAATAAAAGGGCAGGAAAACATTTGTGAAACTACTGTTTTCAGAGGGTTTTTTTAATTTGTCGTGTTCATTTCTACCGTTCCTCTCCTTCGTTGTGTAATTGAAATATTTCGCGTCACTGCTGCAGCGGCGAAGCCAGCGTTCCCACCATTGGGGGACGAGTGGGGGGGGGGGGGGCTGGATGTTGCTTGAGGGGCAATTTCAGTAGAATCCGTGCTGAAATGTATAGACAAGATTTTAGCGGGTCCAAAAGCCGGGGGGGGGGGAGGAGGAGGACACCATCATTCTGTGGGGCGCCCTTCAAAGCGGACAATATCGGACGATAGGGTGGCGCCCTTCAAAGCGGACAATATCGGACGATGGGGGGGGGGGGCGCTCTTGCGGATGTTCGCGCATCAGAACCGTATATCGAGAGAGTTGTGACAACTTCAGACAGTTGAACCATAATGGCCGTTTATTATGTATACGTGAGACTATTGTGTACGAATTATATATGTGCCCTGATGCATAATCCGCCATTTTGTTTCCAAACGGCTCTGTGTTCGCGCGACTTGAAAAAGGGGAACTCGCACAAAATAGAAGCTCGTGTAAAAGGACATGCAACTTTCCGGGGGCGATGACTTTCTATGCTGCTCCCCCCCCCCCCCCCCCGCCACCACCACCACACGTGAATACGCCCTTTCACTGCTCCCTGCCCCACTGTACTGCCTCCTATACACAACCTTGTTTTGATTAGGGTTTTTTTCTGACCCGAAAAAGAATAACGCTGGATAGGATCTATAACAGGAGGACGCTGTGTTAATCATTTTCAATCGATTAATCACTGCCATGGAATGCATTCTGTTTTATTAATCGGTGAAGTTACTTTGAACAGGGCAGTATACAGGCGCGTCTTATTTTAAAATGTTGGAGTGAATTTCTAGCTTTCATCTTGCACACAATTTATTATTGTGTGTTTAGGAAATAACACATTCAGCAAGTCAGCATACTAAGCACATGAAAACAAAAGCGTCTAAATATAACAAGCAAACAATATTTCAGCGGATTTTCCGGCTTGTTTTCCTGTACGCTGATCACAATTCTCATCACGAGAGACTTTCATTTTAGCTTATATACTTGTTGTATGTTAGGAAAAACGAAGATTTTACCCTCGAGTGCAGAGTGACTGTGTAGAAGTCGTCGGTGTTCGAGTCCACCGTTGCCGATCGCCTTGTAGTTGTAAAGTTTGTGTTACTCCCCCGAATCATGCATACGGTCATTCGTTCTAAGATGTTTTCATCTTTGTATGTGCCGCTGGCTGCTGCACTTGTTACACTTTTGGTGGTATGTTCGGGTGATCGGACGTTCGTGCCGCCGGGTAGCTACGGTGAAGTTGTTGGCACTAAACATCGCCATGTCAGGTAAGAAGTTGTATCCCCCTCCAACCCCCTCCACCACAAAAGGTTTGTACAGCATTAAACAGAGCAAAGGGTGGGGAACGCCTTAAGTAGGTAAAGGTATACATTTGGCTGGAGAGCGCCAAAATTGTGTGCTTTGTTTACTTATCGTTCAAAATGTCTGTGCTATGGGGAAAATTATTTAAACCTTGTTTGTCAGGCATGGATTGTTCAGGCTTGTCCATCCAGTGGCGTAACTGGGGGGGGGGGGGGGGGGGGGGTTGACGTGTCCCCCCCCCCCCTCTTTCGAGAGGATTTTCGTGCCCCGGGTGCCCCCCCCTTCCATTATAATATTGAATTGAAAAACCGATACAATGCAGTGTTGAAATGTGCCCTCAGTGTCCCCTTTGAAGAAAAAAATTGTGTACCTCCGAATGTCCCGTAGAAGGACTGTAGTTCCGCCACTGCACTTATCTGAAATCAAACTTTTTGAATCTGAGAGAAAGACAATGATTAAAAAGATAAGAAATGCATCTTTCAGACCTTTCCAACACCTAGTTTATATACGCCTGAAGCGGCATACATGTATATGCAGCTATAACTAATTTTGCATTTGTTTTGCTCATAATAGCCTTTGATAACGTCGTGGTTCAACTTTTCCATTCTGGTAAAAAGGTACGCTATAGGTCATGTAGTTTTGCTACAGAGCATACATCTCAAAGGAAATTTGAAGCACGACGTTTTGAAAGTTGAACTGACGTTTTGAAAGTTGAAGTAACGTTTGAAAAGTTGAACCACGACGTTTGAAATCGTTTAAGAACACTATACAAGAGGGCCCAAAAGGCCACGATGACTGCCAAGTTGGCTGCCATAATTTGCAGTTGATCTTTTAAAAAGAGAAAAGTCATAATCACGATGCTTTGTATTGTTTGTCAGATCTAATCAGCTTGCAGACCGTGTCAATAATATCTGTGGGTGCCGCACAGATCGAACAAACTTTTCCTGTTCGGTGCCAGCCGCCAATGGTAAGGAAACGCTAAACTTTCACAAACATTTCCTGAAAATTTCCCTTGAAGGCCCCATTTCGCTGGAAAATTATAAAATTACATTGTCCCCCCTCGATGTTTGCATACTGTGGTTGTTTTCATGCGGTTAGATTTATGAGAAAGGATGGCCTGTGTGACGTCATTGCCTGTTCCGTTATGATAAGTTAAAATAGAAACGATTAAATCCATGTGAATATATTAAAGGCATTGGATATGCCACTCTTTTGTCACTGGTGCGTAACGCTACATTTGTAGTTTCTTGCCATGCCGTGGTTGGCACTTTTTGCCAATCACGGTTTGGCAAAGTATGGAAGGTCAATGTCGCAAACATAACGAATCTGGAGTTAGGAATCCGTAACTCCCTAGGCATTTTTGCTAGGATGCAACCTCAATCCTGCAAAATCCTCCAACTGCCTCTGTGTAAAAATTGTATATAGCCTCAATCCTCCAAAATAAACCGTTATTTCATGACTGTGTTCCATGGAGGGGTGACCACTGCCTCAATCCTTCAAAATCAACTAGCAATCGCTGTCAACATGTTGAGGCAGAGCCAGTTACATCCTGGAGCAGTGCGAAGGATTTCAAGTATAATTTTGTCCATAATTTCGAAATTTTGCTGTTTAAAATTTCTTTTCAAGATATCTACCAAACCGAACAATTGGACATTTCAAACTTGTTTTGGTGTAGGCTTTAATTGGTATAATCATTTCGATTTGTGCTTATTTCTATTTTAAAAACAATTTTCTTACGTTCACGCCTTGAATGCATCACCCCCTCTCCATGTACCACACCTTTATTTAACCTAACGATTCTATCCAACGTTTCACTTTCAAATGGCAATATTTTCAGCTGAGCTTTTGAATTGTACGGACGAAGAGGTAATGGGCGGCGATGGTAACACGTGTTACATGATCGTGAATGAAGGCAAGTCAAACCACGATGCACAGTTATATTGCATCGAACATGGCGGCCATCTTGCTTACATCGAGTCGGAGGAGGAACAGAGCTTCCTTGAGACGATCGTAGCTACCGAGTCGGTTAACTGGATTGGGCTCATCTGGGCGGTATCTTGGCTAGATGGAACTCCGCTAAGGCAGGACTGGCTCTTGCCTATACGTAAACCTTCCGCTTCCCTCCAAGGAGTGAAAACGTGCTTTAGCATGAGGCGCAGTGAAGTAATTGGAAGAGTGTGCAGTAATGAAAGACGTTTCATATGTGAGATACCAAACGAAAATAAAGGTAGGTTGGTCAAGAGCGCCAGAGTCGAATCGGAACCACACAGGGCCTATTCCAAACAATACATGACATTGTTTAATACTATAACAAACAAACTTCGCGATACCAGATATTTTACCACCCCAAATCCATTACATGCTTGACGTACATTCTCGACCAAAGTTCGTATATTTCTATTGCACCAAAAAGACAAACGATAAAAAGATGAACACCGCCTAACGATACATCAGCTTCTGAATAATTTCACTTTGTTTATGGTATTCTTTTTATAGAGTGCCTAGAGCAGGACGCGTTTGGTGGATCGTGTTACAGGGTGAATGAATCAAGGTTGACGCATAGAGATGCTCAACAATTCTGCAATGAAACTTACAACGGACATCTACCTTACATCGAGACAAGAGAAGAGTTAAATCACATAGTGAAGTACCTCCAAACTGTGACGGTTGGATATTCCTGGATAGGTCTGATCGCACAACACAAATGGATGGACGGCACCACGGTGTCTTACCAGAATCTTCAACGTGATACGCATAACCGTCTAGACTGGCGACACGGGTGCTTCAGTTTGAGCGGCAAGTGGAAAAGAGAAGACTGTGCTACGGAGTATGGATACATATGCGAGCGAAACATTGTGGATCAACAAGCGACACATGAAAACTGTGAGTTTGTTTTCCATTTTCCATATGGACTCCGTGCTCAAGATACCCCCTCAACGGTTTTAAAGGGGGTAGATCACTGGGGGGGGGGGGGGGGGGGGTTGCACATTCGGATTAAAAAAGCCAGCTCGGTATTTCAACTACGCATGCGCACAATGATATGGGTCATGGGTCATTCGGGATAATGACAGCGTATGAACACGTGCGGAGACACGTCATACAACAATGTAATATATTACATTTCTTCTCTGGTACTTCCTCACCATACATTAGCATCAAGGCAGTGCTCAACAACCCCTACCGGCCTGACTGAGTTTTTACGAGGAGGTTCTCTCTGCATCCACACTGAACAGATGATTAACGTCTCAGATTCGTCTTATGTCTTCCCCGCTCTATGTGAATGTGGCACGGGTCGATGCCTTCAAGGCTGTGCTTGCGTTGTCAGAGATAAGTGAGTACAATGCAGCTATATCAAAGATAGAAGTAACTCTACTTTGAAATTAGTGTGTTTAACAAGTATGTGAAGAGGGGACGGAGTGCACCGAGCAACTTTTCGAGATCAAACTTCAGTGATTTGTCTGTTTTGTCCGGCTGATTTGTGTGGTAATATTATGTCCAGTTTAATTGGCATCTATGGGCATGATGGGTTACGTATTTTATAAGAAGATGAACCAAAATGAGCAAAAGAACAAGCATATACGCAAAGATTTAAAAAAAAAAGTTGGCTCTCTGTCACAGCTCGGCTGGAGAAGTGGTGGCGTCAGCAGACATCTGTGCTGGAAGGCCCTGTCATATGTACACGCCTTCCTACACTAGTACTACGATTATTATAAAATTAACTTACGTTCTTTACTGTCTATGTCCCTTCTTTAATAGTGCTGGGGGACTGATTGCTTGCAGTTGTGGCGCTTGCAGTTTGACCTACTCGTTGCAAACAGGCAAGTTTAATTCTTATCAGTGAAAAAATTAATAGTACAATTTTTAAGAATGCAGGCAGTCTGGTCTGTCACATCATAACCTGCCATGAAGCCTGAATCCGTTGTGCACTATGTATATCGCTTCAGCAGAAAGCAAGAGCCTTACCGATAGTTTTTCTTCTTTTTTTCATTCGGAAATTCAAATGTAATGCGCATTGAGAGGGCTAGCATTGTGGAAGGTGCAATGCATGTTCAATAAATTGTTATCGTGAATGTTGTGTCTGCATCTGACAAGCTGGACTGTTATTGAGAAGTTAATGCAAATAAAATTGTTTAGGATTGTTTGATTGTGTGCAAGGATAAACATCGCCATTACTCGTTAGAGTAATGTTAAAGAAAAACAAGCATTGTTCATTTTTTATTCATATCGGATTTGAAGATAAAATTGACGTCAGTAATATTGACTTTGAGCGACGAAAAAACAAAAATCACATCACCATCTACACGGTGAAAACTTAAAAACAAAAAATCACATTACCATGCATCTACACGGTAAAAATAAATACATATCACCATCTACCCGCGTCCCCATCCGGTGTGGAGGAGATTTTTAACTCATGTGGATTGGTTTACTCTACTCTTAGTTATTTTATGTGTAAAAGTAACTTTGGTAAACATTTTAATTAAGATGTACTCTTAGAAAAACACAGTGAAATTATGTAATACTGAGCAAAAAAAATACTAGTATCCGTAAGTGATTTGAATTAGTGATTTATATTTTTAAAAGAAATATTTGATTTAAATCGCGATTATCAAGCAACATTGATTCTTTTGCAGGTGACATTGAGACTTTCGAATTTCCAGTCCTTTCCTCATCTTTGACGTGCGATTGTATCAACGGAGAAGCCAGTTCGAGCTACCAATTCCAAGATGGCGTCTTTACCAATCTCCACCCAGCATGCAGTGGCATTGGGGATACTACCGATGTTGTAGCAAGCGCCAATATCACAGTCATCACCGTCGTAGCCATACTGGGGGTGTTGGTGCTCGTCTTACTTGTCATTGGCTTCCGGTTGCGTAGACGATGGAGAAAGATTTTACCTGTCAATCAAATGAGGTACCTTTTCTCTTTATCGTGTATTCTCGCTCATGCTTTTAAGCCTCACAGCATCTGTAGTCCCTATGCGCTAAGGCGAAGTTAGAGGGCAATGTCTCTATGTCGCTTAATTGGACAGGCATGGGTAAACCAATTTCACGTTTCGTTACTAAATTATGGAAAAAAAAACCAATGAACACCCCGACCCCTGAGACACTATGCTGCACACTAAAAAGCTAGGATTGCTGGCAAACAGGCATTGGGCCCGTCCGCCTGGGACAAAACAAATTGACAGATAAATTGAAATAAGTTGATGTTAAAACAATTCCAAGGTCGCTATTATTACATTTTTACGAACACTCAAATCAGAGGGATGGCCAAAAAAAACCCCAAAAAACACCTGCCTGCGACCACAACTAAGAATTATGAAACGTTAGAAAATGTAATACATGTACCAGAAACGTATGAGGTACACATTTAAACTGGTAGTTTACTTATTTTTTATTCTAGGACTTCAGCTGCTACAGGACCAACATCTCGTGGTAAGCATTGCAACGTCTGACGAATTCCTCTCGTACAAATTTTTTTTTTTAGAGTAAATTCGTGTAGATTAACATGCAGTGAAAAAAGTGTTGTTATTCATGCAACTGCAGTGTCATACATAGCGGGGGTCAATTCTCACATTTACTGTCCCAATAATTACGAGAGGTGAGGGAGCATGGGGGCATGGGGGAGGATTTAAGCGGGTGGGGGTGTGACCCCCCCCCCCCCCCCCAGCTACGCCACTGAACAAAATAAAATAAGTGTGGAAGTGGACTAAAAGGCACACAACTGGGACCCAATTCCAAGGCGCTGCTAAACACACTTCTGCTTACGAAACGGACCCTCCGTCTATTTCGCGAAGACCGTAAGCAGTAAGCACAACAAAAAAAGCACGCTTAACCAGAAAAAAAAGTTGCTTAAATTAGCCGCCGTAAGGTTAGACCCACGCCGTGAAATAGTGCTAACAGGTTATCTCAAGTTTCTGCTATAGGACTCAAGCACAATTTCGTGCTGCTAAACTGTGAAGCAGCGCCACGAAATTGGGCTCTTGTTAATGTTGAATTGTGATGTCTTGTGTAGATCCAATATGGCACTTCTATGCCAAGTTTCATACTTGTTTTTCTGACAGAGGAAAGAAATGACACCGGTGGCCCTGCTTCTCCCAGTGTTTCCTTCCATGATGATCAGCAAGGGGACTGCGATGACGCCGCACCAACACAAAGTCCGGCGGTTGGGGTACCTGCTGACATGGACGTCTATATAACACCGCCGAACGAGTACGATTATGCTGATTTTACCGGTAAACGGCTAGACACATTGTCAGGGACATCAGATGAAGAGTACGTTAACAAAGATGTTATCGGGAAGGGAAAACAAGCCCCCAAACAAGTCGAACGTAGCCGTCAAGAGCTGTCCCCCAACGCAGCAGATAGCGAGCCGAGTTATGATTATGCTGGCGTTACCGGTAAACGGCTGGACACCTTGTCAGGGACATTAGATGAAGAGTACGTTAACAAAGATGTTATCAGGAAGGGAAAACAAACCCCCAAACAAGTCGAGTGTAGCCGTCAAGAGCTGTCCCCCAGCGCAGCAGATAGCGAGCCGAGTTATGATTATGCGTCGGTTAGGGCGCCCTCACTCGATCACGATTCGCCAACACACGCTCGGGTGTACATTAATGAACGAGTGCGTCCTCAACGTCAGCAGCGTGTGCCAGAAATGCAAACACCGAATGACGATTTTGGCTCTTACTATGCGGAGATTTCCTAAGCCGACACCCTCGACTGTAATCTATAACGAACACTCATGGGAACCATTCACGGGAACCCGGGGGAGTAGGTCCCCCTCCCCATGACAATCTCTTCCTTCACCCCCCCCCCCCCCCCCCCCAAGGTAAAAAAGTAAAAAGTAAAGGTCTGATAGCCATTACTGGCCGTAGGGGCAGTGGGATGTTAGAGGTCCACTGTGTCTTGGGCGCGGCATATGAGTGGTGGGGCCCATTCCTCTCCTCTCGCCGTCTTACCTTCCCCGAACGAATCAGGTACCCATTTTACTGTTGGGTCGTCAGAGAGAGTTTTTCAAGTGTTTGGTCCGAATGAGATTCGAACCACCAACCTTCCACTCCATAGCTCCACGCTCTAACCGCTTGGCTACATACGAGGCCCCACCCGGTGCACCCCAAAAACAAACCCACAAACCCAAAACACCGACTTTTAGCAATGCATGTATATCGCTACTTTAATCTCCAAATGGTTCCTTTATGCTTTTCCCCTCTCATTAATAACTTTCTCTTGTAACTCGAAAGCAGTTTTGAAACGCGAATGTAGATTTTTAACAAACAGCGCCACCTAGAAAGAGATGGTGTCCAGGCCACTTTTCCTTACCTTCTCCCTGTTTGTTTCAGTTGTTTATTTCTTTGGTTTTTTTTTTTATTTAAAATATTTTAGACATATTAATTATATAATGTTGTGATGCTTGTGACTTTATTACTTTCATGGTTGTACCTATAATTTGTTTTAATGTCGGCTCATTTTTTTCCCAGATGCATCCTTAATTAATTAAACATGGCATGTTCATATCTGGACGCATTTGTAATTACATACAAAGTCAGCGTCTTGTTTTGTAATCCAAACGATGGGGGGAAGCTCGATATTTTATTGTCTTATGAATAGAGCAGTCAACAAGATTGCTTAGTTAATGAAGACTTAGTGAAATATTTATTCCATCTTCTTCTTGACCACACCATTATTAAGCCGCTATGTATATAAAGCTCTAGTATTTTACCATGCCATGTGACATACTGACGATTGTTACATGCTGACGACTCCCTTTGTCCTTTACTATGCTGTATAATTAAAAAAAAAACTACTTATAGTAACAACGTAATGTTTCCATATAGTTTTGTATTGTGCTTGTAATACTTGTTCAGTCAATATCTGCTCCTATTGTTTCTATTAAACATTAATATAAGAATGCTTATTAGTTTTGTATACACAATTGTCAAATGTGGACCTTCGCCTAATCGTGGACACTGTCCTCTTATGTTCTTTGGTATAGAAAAGGTCCACCACTGTATATACAATCATGTGCACTCGGCACACGCAGTCCTTAGCGATTTACACTTATAATACAATGTATAGCAGTGTTTGTAAATAAATTTTAAAAAACGCATAGGTTTATCTATTTTCCGACCAGATGTCTACAAATTGTTGACTGCTGTGAGTGAGATGTGGGATATGACGTTTTTAACACCCGAGGGGCGCGTGTCCCTAGGGGGATATTAACGACATATCCGACATCGCAACAGTCGACAATTATTTGTAATATCATGCCTATAAGTCAAAAAACATAAATGGTTGTAAGTTACTATATGCAGGAAATAAATTAAACCACTGCGGTGTGATAACCCTTCGATAACTGCATGCAGGCGTTCGTGCCGGAACGCTGTGTATAATTTATAGAGTTTATATGCAGGGCAGTATAATTATGAAGTAAACAGTTGTTTTTACAGACTGGACACGTTATAGTCATAGGCCCGTAGCTAGAGGTACACAATAGGAGCTAGGCGCAGATTTGGGTGATGATATTTGAAGGTTTACATGGTGGAAAGATACTAAGACAAGATAAGTTTGCGGTAGCACCATGTGAATAAATCTCTTTTGTGGGTATGTGTGGTTCTGAATTTTGGGTTGGTAAAATTTGGGTAAATTCAAGAGAGTGAACCTGTATTCCAAATCGCGCCCTCATAGACTAATACCATTCAGTATAGCCTTTTAATTGTATGATAACCTATTTAGAAAAGTAAATTGTACATTTGTACCATTATAGATTATGAGCCTGCTTTTAAACATTTATGTCGTAATTTAAACTTTAGATGTTGGCCGCCATATTTTCCAAGCAATAACTGGAAGTCATTGGCAATGAAAGAAAGATTTTTTACTACAAAACTATTTTGACATGTTTCGTCTGCTGAGTGACCTAAGTTCTGGTTTATAGGCTTACTTGTCACCGAACAAAATGAAGTTTTGTGAACTTTTATGCCAGTAACATTGTTTATCTTCAATTTTTTTTTCTACGTCTGGGAAAAATATGAGAAATTGAAATAGAGCAGAGTCCGTTTTGTGCTTGGAATGTTTCACATGGCAGTTACGAATTCTACGGTCGATTCGTTCCCACGAATGGCAATGGCTTCGGTTGAATCGTTCTCACATTTCCCGTTAGAGACGTCTTTGTTGTTGAGACCCTCACATTCCATGTCTGATAGGGGAGAATACTCCCCAATTCCGCGGATCTGAAATGAACGAGATACGCCAGGAATATAATACAGTCTCCCGTGGAGGTATTATGTTGTGCTATACAAACTCTCAATCACTGACCTCGATAGTAATGGGACTGGCTGCTATACATGCTGATTTTGCATACGCACCTTGACGTCACCAATCCACCATCTTGTTCCCCCGAAATATCACTCTAGGCCTAGGATATGCAACCTGATATGCCGTTGAGGTTTTTGTAATGTTAACAATTCTTATTTTCTTCGTCTTAACTCTGAAGAAGAAAAACTCCAATACCAGCTTCTCTTTAAAAAAAGAAGTGCGTTTTCTGCGCTTGCGTCGTGGGATAGCCAAGAATGGCAGCAGCGGCTTCAATGTGTGGGTATCGTCAGCCATTCCAGTTAGTATAGAGGTCAGTGATCTCAATTCGTAGCGCAAACTGTCCCACAATGCAACGCAACTTCCTTCCCTGATCTATAAAGACCAATGTGCCAATCAAAACACACCAAGCTATAGAAATCCAACATAAACCTTTTACGAACAGAGATTGCTATAATGATATTTCAGGAAAGGAAATAAGATTCCCTTTTCCAGTAATGAAAAAAAAACACCCCAAAACATTGGTCATGCGGAAGAGGGACTTTAGCCATAATATAACCTTCATTGATGGTAATAACATTTTCATACTGTTATATTGAATTGCAAATTAAGAAACAGAACACGGTATATTACACAATTCTCAGTCTATGGGTGGAAATGGTGATGATGAGAGTTTTCATAAAATAATTTGCTAAGCCTGAAATATTCGTTCTCTCAAAATAAATGACTAGCCGAGCTGCTATATGCTGTATGGATTCGCTTCGCCAGTGCGCTTTGGTGCTTTTGTGAGTCTTAGATCCTATTTCCTGATCTGATCTAGTTATATTCTTACCTGAGGTTTCTCACTGGGAACAAACGAAGTCTTGATCTTCCAAATAACCAAACGGGGATCCATACTGGAGGTGTCGTTTGTTCCTGGCACACAATTTGGGAAACAACAACATTATAAGATGGTTTATAAGATGGTTATCAGATGGATAATTTGATTTGAACAACAACATTGCTATAATTGATTTCTGTTTACGGTAATCGACACCATTAGCAAATACTTAAAGATTACTTGATTGTAAGTAAATAATACGATCATGCATCCCATGCAATCGTCCAGAAAAGAGGCATTACTGCCAAACCTACGTTTTGCTTCAAATAAAAATAATATACAGGTATTTTTTACAGTTTTATCAAAAGCTGTATATCTACTGAGCTGAATTTTCGACAGGTTAGTCTATTAATAACCTACGCCAGATTTAATATTTGTTCATGAATCGGCAGAAACATAGCGTTCTGGCAAGATGAGACGGAACTGGGCACAGGCCGTAGAGGAGAAAAATACGAAAAACTGAATTGGGGTGATTTGTTTTTCTCGATTTTCAGAGTTATTGATATTTGTTACCTGTGTCATGTCTACTACACATATTTTAAAGAAATAGTATACAAATCGGGGATTAAAAGTGTTTTTAAGGAAAACAATTTGCACCTTTCATTTTCACGATTACAAAACACGAAAGTTTATAGGCCTTTTTTTCTCAGTGTTTTACTTTTTTGACATGTCAATAAGTGAGAACTTTAAACAACCATACCTTGTCAACGGAATGTCTGATTGCAGTCCAACCAACAGTATTCTCTTTCCTAATACACACAAACCCTCATTTCGACCTCTGCCCAGTTCTGCCTCATTTTAGCAGATGGCGTCCATTACTTTTAATGGAATCCTTGAAGTTCATTTTGGGCTTGCTTTATTTTTGAAACATAACCCCCTCCCCCCCCCCCAAAAAAAAACCAACCGGAGAGTTTGTATGCTTACCTGTGACCAAAGTAGCACATAATGTCGCTAGAATGGTTGTCAGAAATGTTAACAGAGACAACCAGGACTTGGCCAAAGAAAATATCACCGGACCCTCAGATCTGTGGGGGAAACAGTTTCGTATTTTGTTGATCACATTCCCTTGATTTCATATATACCTTGAATTGTCTTCGTGTCTATTGCTCCCGTATCATTGCTTTCTCTCTGTCGCTACAGGGTGAGTCAAAAAGAAAGTGACCGAGTAAGAAAAAAATATGTGGCTTGCCCCATTTAATAAAAAAAAAGATAACATAGGAATAAAGTACGAGTTATTGATTAGCAACTTCACGTAATTTGCATAATCTAATCATAAGTTATCTCTATGTTAATACACATTTAGCTGTTGACTACTGATCAGTTACCGATACCCATTGATGGTAAATACCATACAATGAACCATTGGGTTCTCCTACTTCCATCAATGAATGAAAACTTGCAAAGGAAAACAGACAAAAACACCATCATCATTTCAGAATAATACTTGATTTGTTCCCTACATACAAAACACAAAAACTTACAGAAATACGATGTTTCAGACTCGACTCAAATCCCCCTGTGATAATCTCTGGTTCTCATACACTCAGCTGAATTATTTCATAGCATGTAACATTCCATGGACAACTGCGAACATGGTTCTGTTAAAACTTGCATAAATTCTGATAACATGGATCGATTGTTTTTTAAAGGGAGAGGGGGAGTGATATAGGCATATACTTTTGTTTATTTCATGATTTGAAACGGGGGGGGGGGGGGAGGGGGGCACCAGGGGGACACCCAGTTATGTCACTGTCTAAAGCTTCTACTCTTATATCAAATACCCGCAATACACGACCGGTACCGTCATGCATGGCCACTGATCTCCTTATGTGACATACCTGTTTGTGTTACTTTCCGTCATCATTATCTGTGATGTAAGATTGAGGGTTGTCACCAACGGCAGCTGTGTAGCTAAGGATGTAGCTGTCACCAGAGTGTCGTTCATGTCCATGTAAGTCTCATTCAGACACATCTCTGCTGATAGTGGCAGGTTGTCCGGTTTGACTTGGTGGATGATACAACCCACTGACATTGTCACTGCCACGATCAATCCGACCACGAAGCCAGTTACAACACTCTGTGTGTAGATAGATTATTATCACTGTGAAGTACACCGGCGGGCTCCGCATTGGACATTTACAAAAGTTGAATCTCTAAGTTTAGGACATTGAAGCTAAATTGGCCTGGAACTTGTAATGCAGATAGAATTGGTATGTGACATGTAAGTAGTCTGAACTGGCGGTATTGGAGTAAGTGCATAATTGTATTTAACTCTGCGAGGTGTAGAACCTTCAGGAAAGCTGAGGGATTACATTTCGGTTTCATTTAAACTTTTCGTCTTAATCCATCCTAGCCTTGTTCCCTTTATGCTGGTGAAGTCATTATTGTTGGCATGTGAATAACATGAGTAGTGGAGGTAGACTTCTTAACACAATTTGACCTTGGGCATAGAAATAGGTAAAGGTCACATAAATATGTAAATATGAAAATATGTAGATATAAATATGAATGAATGGGGTTATGAAATTCCGGGCACAGTTTGACCTAATGAATGGATGGGATGAATAGGGAATAGGTGTGGGTATTAGGGACCGGGTACAGTTTGACCAATTCTATGGGAAAGATTGCATAAGGTATGGAAAAAAAAATATATATTTTTTATGGTACATTTGGATCTTAGCCCGAATATGAGTTTCATACGTTAGTCCCTGTGAACGACCAGCTGGTCGGATCTTTAATCCCCCAACAATAGACGGGAGAGGGCGCGTGCCAAGTCAGCCCACTAGTATTGTTACGAAGTTAATCCGATCGATACAAAAAGTAATTGGATTTCCGAATGCTCGACAGCAGAAAGCAGCGATAGATGGCAAAAATGAATTTTGCGTTGATCAGACTGAAACGAGTAGGATTGTCTATTTGAAGAATTATTTTAAAGTCATTTTTATTGGGTTTATGGGTATTGTGCACGTTGCGTTTTCCAAGTTATAAACAAACACTCACCGCAGCATACTTGCAGGGTACAGCCTGTGTCGGCCATGGGGGTACATGCATATGATAAATCCACGATCCATAATCCATGCGTCTGTATGGAGACCGGTGGTCGATCACCCCTCGATGATCGCACCGATCCTGGAGCAAATAAATAACTCCGTCCGTGCGCCTATATTCCTCTTGTTAATCGATACAATACCAATGGCACTCTTCTACACTGCCACCAGAATCATCCAAGTAAAAATATATGTTTGTGCGCGGTGATCGTAGAAAAGGGAAGGTTTTGGCATCAGCCAGAGCAAATGCTAGTATACATGCACACTACTGTATACACGCCGTCCGATCAGATAGCGCTCAAGTTTTCTTAATCCGTGACGGCTAAATTATCGATTAGGCTCTATAGTCTGCAGAGGCGCGTACAATAAGGAATGGATTCAGTGGTTTAAAGCCATAACAAAACGTGCGGGTATGTGGTTTTCAAGGGAACTACGGCCTGGAAAGTGCCCGATTAAGTGTATAGGAATAACACAACCATCATTGTGCATTTTGTAATATTTCGTACTAGAACGACCCCAAAACCAAGCTATAGCCTATCCATAGTTAAAAATTCAGTCGTAACGTGGTAAAAATGGTGCCCCTTTAACGCTGTCTGTATAGGAATGCACCGAACCCTAGTTGTACCTCCGTGCCGGATTTGTTTACAAAATCGAGGATGACTGGGTTTTATCTACGACCATTTTACGGGGGTTATTTAGAGGGCGTGTTCAAGCAATAATTTTATGACTGAGAGTAGGCTTTTCCAATTGATAAGACAACACAAACAAAGAAAAATACAACTGCAGAAAGTACAACCGATATGACATTATTGCTTTATTGACGTCATTTTTCAGTAAAACATCATTCTGCTCTTTACCCTGCTCATCCTGCTCTTTTTCCTGCTCATCCTGCTCTTTACCCTGCTCATCCTGCTCTTTACCCTGCTCATCCTGCTCTTTACCCTGCTCATCCTGCTCTTTACCCTGCTCATCCTGCTCTTTACCCTGCTCATCCTGCTCTTTACCCTGCTCATCCTGCTCTTTACCCTGCTCATCCTGCTCTTTACCCTGCTCATCCTGCTCTTTACCCTGCTCATCCTGCTCTTTACCCTGCTCATCCTGCTCTTTACCCTGCTCATCCTGCTCTTTACCCTGCTCATCCTGCTCTTTACCCTGCTCATCCTGCTCTTTACCCTGCTCATCCTGCTCTTTAACCTGCTCATCCTGCTCTTTACCCTGCTCATCCTGCTCTTTACCCTGCTCATCCTGCTCTTTTCCCTGCTCATCCTGCTCTTTTCCCTGCTCATCCTGCTCTTTTCCCTGCTCATCCTGCTCTTTACCCTGCTCATCCTGCTCTTTACCCTGCTCATCCTGCTCTTTACCCTGCTCATCCTGCTCTTTACCCTGCTCATCCTGCTCTTTACCCTGCTCATCCTGCTCTTTACCCTGCTCATCCTGCTCTTTACCCTGCTCATCCTGCTCTTTTCCCTGCTCACCCTGCTCATCCTGCTCTTTACCCTGCTCATCCTGCTCTTTACCCTGCTCATCCTGCTCTTTACCCTGCTCATCCTGCTCTTTACCCTGCTCATCCTGCTCTTTACCCTGCTCATCCTGCTCTTTACCCTGCTCATCCTGCTCTTTACCCTGCTCATCCTGCTCTTTACCCTGCTCATCCTGCTCTTTACCCTGCTCATCCTGCTCTTTACCCTGCTCATCCTGCTCTTTACCCTGCTCATCCTGCTCTTTTCCCTGCTCATCCTGCTCTTTACCCTGCTCATCCTACTCTACGGCATAGAGTAGGATGAGCAGGGTAAAGAGCAGGATGAGCAGGGAAAAGAGCAGGATGAGCAGGGTAAAGAGCAGGATGAGCAGGGTAAAGAGCAGGATGAGCAGGGTAAAGAGCAGGATGAGCAGGGTAAAGAGCAGGATGAGCAGGGTAAAGAGCAGGATGAGCAGGGTAAAGAGCAGGATGAGCAGGGTAAAGAGCAGGATGAGCAGGGTAAAGAGCAGGATGAGCAGGGTAAAGAGCAGGATGAGCAGGGTAAAGAGCAGGATGAGCAGGGTAAAGAGCAGGATGAGCAGGGTAAAGAGCAGGATGAGCAGGGTGAGCAGGGAAAAGAGCAGGATGAGCAGGGTAAAGAGCAGGATGAGCAGGGTAAAGAGCAGGGTAAAGAGCAGGATGAGCAGGGTAAAGAGCAGGATGAGCAGGGTAAAGAGCAGGATGAGCAGGGTAAAGAGCAGGATGAGCAGGGTAAAGAGCAGGATGAGCAGGGAAAAGAGCAGGATGAGCAGGGAAAAGAGCAGGATGAGCAGGGTAAAGAGCAGGATGAGCAGGGTAAAGAGCAGGATGAGCAGGGTAAAGAGCAGGATGAGCAGGTTAAAGAGCAGGATGAGCAGGGTAAAGAGCAGGATGAGCAGGGTAAAGAGCAGGATGAGCAGGGTAAAGAGCAGGATGAGCAGGGTAAAGAGCAGGATGAGCAGGGTAAAGAGCAGGATGAGCAGGGTAAAGAGCAGGATGAGCAGGGTAAAGAGCAGGATGAGCAGGGTAAAGAGCAGGATGAGCAGGGTAAAGAGCAGGATGAGCAGGGTAAAGAGCAGGATGAGCAGGGTAAAGAGCAGGATGAGCAGGGTAAAGAGCAGGATGAGCAGGGTAAAGAGCAGGATGAGCAGGAAAAAGAGCAGGATGAGCAGGGTAAAGAGCAGGATGAGCAGGGTAAAGAGCAGGATGAGCAGGGTAAAGAGCAGGATGAGCAGGGTAAAGAGCAGGATGAGCAGGGTAAAGAGCAGGATGAGCAGGGTAAAGAGCAGGATGAGCAGGGTAAAGAGCAGGATGAGCAGGGTAAAGAGCAGGATGAGCAGGGTAAAGAGCAGGATGAGCAGGGTAAAGAGCAGGATGAGCAGGGTAAAGAGCAGGATGAGCAGGGTGAGCAGGGAAAAGAGCAGGATGAGCAGGGTAAAGAGCAGGATGAGCAGGGTAAAGAGCAGGATGAGCAGGGTAAAGAGCAGGATGAGCAGGGTAAAGAGCAGGATGAGCAGGGTAAAGAGCAGGATGAGCAGGGTAAAGAGCAGGATGAGCAGGGTAAAGAGCAGGATGAGCAGGGAAAAGAGCAGGATGAGCAGGGAAAAGAGCAGGATGAGCAGGGTAAAGAGCAGGATGAGCAGGGTAAAGAGCAGGATGAGCAGGGTAAAGAGCAGGATGAGCAGGTTAAAGAGCAGGATGAGCAGGGTAAAGAGCAGGATGAGCAGGGTAAAGAGCAGGATGAGCAGGGTAAAGAGCAGGATGAGCAGGGTAAAGAGCAGGATGAGCAGGGTAAAGAGCAGGATGAGCAGGGTAAAGAGCAGGATGAGCAGGGTAAAGAGCAGGATGAGCAGGGTAAAGAGCAGGATGAGCAGGGTAAAGAGCAGGATGAGCAGGGTAAAGAGCAGGATGAGCAGGGTAAAGAGCAGGATGAGCAGGGTAAAGAGCAGGATGAGCAGGGTAAAGAGCAGGATGAGCAGGGTAAAGAGCAGGATGAGCAGGAAAAAGAGCAGGATGAGCAGGGTAAAGAGCAGAATGATGTTTTACTGAAAAATGACGTCAATAAAGCAATAATGTCATATCGGTTGTACTTTCTGCAGTTGTATTTTTCTTTGTTTGTGTTGTCTTATCAATTGGAAAAGCCTACTCTCAGTCATAAAATTATTGCTTGAACACGCCCTCTAAATAACCCCCGTAAAATGGTCGTAGATAAAACCCAGTCATCCTCGATTTTGTAAACAAATCCGGCACGGAGGTACAACTAGGGTTCGGTGCATTCCTATACAGACAGCGTTAAAGGGGCACCATTTTTACCACGTTACGACTGAATTTTTAACTATGGATAGGCTATAGCTTGGTTTTGGGGTCGTTCTAGTACGAAATATTACAAAATGCACAATGATGGTTGTGTTATTCCTATACACTTAATCGGGCACTTTCCAGGCCGTAGTTCCCTTGAAAACCACATACCCGCACGTTTTGTTATGGCTTTAAACCACTGAATCCATTCCTTATTGTACGCGCCTCTGCAGACTATAGAGCCTAATCGATAATTTAGCCGTCACGGATTAAGAAAACTTGAGCGCTATCTGATCGGACGGCGTGTATACAGTAGTGTGCATGTATACTAGCATTTGCTCTGGCTGATGCCAAAACCTTCCCTTTTCTACGATCACCGCGCACAAACATATATTTTTACTTGGATGATTCTGGTGGCAGTGTAGAAGAGTGCCATTGGTATTGTATCGATTAACAAGAGGAATATAGGCGCACGGACGGAGTTATTTATTTGCTCCAGGATCGGTGCGATCATCGAGGGGTGATCGACCACCGGTCTCCATACAGACGCATGGATTATGGATCGTGGATTTATCATATGCATGTACCCCCATGGCCGACACAGGCTGTACCCTGCAAGTATGCTGCGGTGAGTGTTTGTTTATAACTTGGAAAACGCAACGTGCACAATACCCATAAACCCAATAAAAATGACTTTAAAATAATTCTTCAAATAGACAATCCTACTCGTTTCAGTCTGATCAACGCAAAATTCATTTTTGCCATCTATCGCTGCTTTCTGCTGTCGAGCATTCGGAAATCCAATTACTTTTTGTATCGATCGGATTAACTTCGTAACAATACTAGTGGGCTGACTTGGCACGCGCCCTCTCCCGTCTATTGTTGGGGGATTAAAGATCCGACCAGCTGGTCGTTCACAGGGACTAACGTATGAAACTCATATTCGGGCTAAGATCCAAATGTACCATAAAAAAATATATATATTTTTTTCCATACCTTATGCAATCTTTCCCATAGAATTGGTCAAACTGTACCCGGTCCCTAATACCCACACCTATTCCCTATTCATCCCATCCATTCATTAGGTCAAACTGTGCCCGGAATTTCATAACCCCATTCATTCATATTTATATCTACATATTTTCATATTTACATATTTATGTGACCTTTACCTATTTCTATGCCCAAGGTCAAATTGTGTTAAGAAGTCTACCTCCACTACTAACATGTTAGTCTATACCTTGGATCCACAGAAAGGACAGAAGACGCCGATGATGAACAGCGCAAAGCAGCCTGCTGTACTGCACCCAGCAAAAGTGAGCACCACCTATAAAATACCATGCATCATTAGAAGCAGAATTTTCCAAAAGTGGGAGGAAACACAGTGGATCTAGCGTAGAAACATTACTCATGTACATATTATGTCATCAGACTGAAGTTGGTCACACATTTTATGTCTCTTTTTATTTTTTGATTCGTTGTGAATGGCTTCGTCCAAGCAGCGCATTGGTTTAATGACAGTATAACCACCATGTTTGAAACTAAAAAAAAAACCACGATGATCCTCCTCTATATAAAAAAGAACAACATAGTACAAACAGACAAAAAAATCCCTCAAATAACCAAAAAAAGAGAGACGTTTACCGGTATTGCATCACCGACAACCGGAATTAGGAATGCCATGCCGAGTGCTGCAGCAGACGCAAAAACAGCTGAGAAAGAAAAAAATCCACGGAGATTTAAAATTTATTCGAGACGTCCTGGTTGCCAAGTCAAGTTTTGTTCTATAGCTATAAGGTCTATAAGGACAGACTGTTTTAATGTCAGCAATGAAGATGATATAATAATATTGAATACGAAATGACAAAAATACATCAATCGGTGTACGTTTTATTTACTAATGACAATTCAATGAAGTGCGTGAAAAATGTGCAGTCTTTTGGCATATTTCAGGGAGAAAACCAGCCGGCTCTATATTGTTTCCCTAAAAAAAAACAGCTCACCGATTACTTTGAGAGCCACAGTGTAGCCCTTGTCTTTGAGGTCCTTCCAATATGGCTTCACGAAATGTTCACCGACAAGGGTGGCAGATGCGTTGAAGACAGACGACAGTGTACTGATGACATGGGAACATGGATAATTGATTGTTTAATATTGATGTTATCTCAGACAATTTAATCAAGTGAACAGGTCATGAATACGAGTTGTTAATACCGAGTTGGGAGATTTTGAATAGACTTTAAGGTTGAGGCAGAGTTGACGGCAATTTTTGTTTTTGAAGGCCAGACATTGATAGGAAGGATGGGTTGGATAAAGTAGTAGTAAAGTCTGCCCCGAGCCACTGTGGCTCATCAGGCCGGCGTTTATCCCCGGTTTCAGTAGCATGAAACGACTGAGAATATTTCTATTCCCCCTGGATGGGATGCTAGTCCATCGCAGGTTACTCCCCAGCTAATGCCGGTACCCATTTATACTCCTGGGTGGAGAGGGGCAAGTGGGGGTGAAGTGCCTTGCCCAAGGACACAGTATATGACCATCGGCTGGATTCGAACCCCGGACCCTCTGATTATGAGTCACGAACCCTAACCACTAGGCCACACACTCCCCTTTGGGTTGGATAGGCATAGTAAACCTTTTGTGTACATTCACTGTTACTGAAACAATAAAATAGTGGGGGGGGGGGACTCGGCACTGCCCCCCCCCCATTCCCACCCCACCTCCGAGGTTTTCGCCTATTATCTCACCTCAACGCAGCGCCGAACAATCCTGTCAGCAACAAGCCTGGAATTCCAGGCAAGTCACTGAACACGTCCACGATGAAATACGGTACAATCTGTAGGATGGGCAAACAGCTCGTGGAACTTATTATGTTTATCAAAACTTTACTCAAGCAGATACATTTGCTTCTAACTGATTTCACAAAACAGTACTGTATATACTTTGGGTATATCACCAAAAACACAAGGACAAGGCCACCCAAAAGTGTGGGCTACAAACTAGAAAGAACAGAGAACATGCCCCCCAAATTGTCCGTGCCCCCCCCCCCCCCCCTAGGTGCCCGGCGCCCCCACCAAAATACTGAAAATGCCTCTTTTCCTTTTCCAACCAAAAAGGGTTTTTGTAAGTAGCATTTTTTTTCCAAAGGCTTACTGTGTACAATTTCTTATGTCAATGGATACAGCGAGGCATTATGGGCCCAACTGGGAAAAACTGCAATAGGACGTTTGCGATATGTGCCCCCATGATATTCTGATGCCCCCTCTCCCCCTCCCACTCAAAAAAATCCTAGCTACGCCACTGGTGAGGACAGGCCACTGGATGGAACACATCGTTTTTTAAACAAACACTATAAGACTAGACTACTGGAAAATGCAAGCAAATTAAGCAATTAATGTCCGCTAAATATTCTCTGACTGTTTGGTGTATAAGTGGACTTACCTGATCATTTTTAGTCATGTACCCCATGGTGCTAGGGTCGCATCCCTCGTAATATGCATAAATGCTGATCCCCACCAAAAACAGAAGACTTTGGAAAATTATGACTCCAAACGAATAGCAAATAAAGGATCTGTGTGAAAAACAAAATACAATTAAAGGGAATATACAACATTCGCTTTTGCTGTAATTTTAAGAAATGGATGGATTTGGGGATTAATATTTTAAGCAATATTGTTACACTGACTTGCTTGATGTTTTGTGTTCGAAGGGTCTGGAAAAACCAAGAAAAACAATCATTTTCTTGAAGTCTGGTTCCCTGACCCCATTTAAATTGAAATGGGGCAATTTACAGACGTCAGGGAATTATAAGGTCAGGGAACCAGTCTAGAAGGCTTGTTCCCATTCATATAGATGTGTAATCGATTGCAAACAAAATTCAGACTAACTAAAATATGGTAAAGGGGGGGGGGGGCACTATTTGAAAAAATGGCCACTGTATTGATACAAAAATACCACTTCTTGAAAATGTCAGCACACCAGGTGCCAATGTCAACACACCAGGTGTCATCATGATAAAATACTCATGAAAAGTAGTTTTGAGAAATTAAAGGATATCTGCTTGCACAACTTTGGTTGGAACACCCTGTATTTTTCAATGGAACACAGAAAGGAAATCAAATTTAGAAAAGGGAAACAAAATTTCTTCGTTTGACGTGAACTTACGCTCTGGCCACCGCCTCTGATTTGCAGATGACCAGTCTCTGCACCATGTACTGATTGGTGATAACAACCCCTAAGAACATCGTCTGTCCGATGAAACTCCACCCGTTGTAAAAGTCCGTCAAATCGGAGTTGAAGCTAACGAAAGAAATTTATTTTAAAAAAATAAAATAATTCAATAAGCATTCATTTATTGATAAACGCAAATAAATGCTTTAATAATAAACAATGGAAGATTGCAGTTTGCTATAAAAAAAAACGACTGGGAAATGATGCACAGTACTACTATGCTTCAATACATTTTTTAAAGGAGTAGATTCCTTGCTATTTTCAGAACTCTCTTTAAGATGAGTCCAAATTCCAAGATCGATCCTATAACTAAAATGGCCAATTTGACGGCTATTTCAGGTTAGCTGTTATCATCCGAAGAAAGGGTCGTTGAAAAGTTGCGCGCAAAAGAAACACACTAGAAATTTCGCCCGACGTTTCTCTGCACATTAAGTTTCACAAGTAGGCCTACAGTGCACAAGATAAACCTATTCATAAAAACCCTTATGACTAAACGACTTACTCCCCGGCTCATCACACTATTTCGAAAACTTGAGCTCTGCTGCAGTCCCTCTTAATATAAAACACAGACTTGTCAAGTTATAATCTTACTAAAAGAAATTGGTTCTGGATCCCGTGGAAGCTATCTGCCATACGTTCCCGATGCCAAGTGTCATGGAGCATTTGGCGATTATAGCGATGGTCGTTGTTAGCATCAGAAGCATCTGAAGACTGTCAGTCCACAAAACTGCCTTGATTCCTCCCTTAAACACAAAAGAAAAGAAAAACAGTAACAGTCTGAACTAAAAATCAGTTGTTTTTGTCTTCTTGCATTGGTTTTCAGTCGAGCAATGAATCTATACATAATCGTAAAACTCTATCGGAAAACATTTGAAACCCTCAATCATTTTTGTGGACTCACAAACTAACATGGACAACTTCAGAGAAAAACAATCGACTCAAGACTTACGATAACGGTGTAGATGGCACAGACAACGCACAGACCAACGATGGCAACTTCCACGTTGATACCAGTCACTGAATTGATTAGATAAAAAAAATATTACTATAATATTTTATATTCTTCATTAACTATGTATTGTTGACCTGAAGAGAAAAATATAGATAAGCATATTAAATAATTGTTATAAATCATTTGTTTTGTTTTCCCCCACAAAATGTTTCCCAACAATCCATAAAATGTAGGCTTTTTATTATGATTGTGGAAAGGTTTGGAAGTAATAATCCATCCATGCTCAATAAACACAATATGTGACCAGTGGCGCACCCAAGGAGGGGGTGGAAGAGGTTGTTATTTTGTTCCTTTTTTGGGGGGGGGGGGTCAATATTTTTTGTTAGTCCCACGATTTGACCGTGGTGATAATATGTATGTGGCCTATTTTTCGAGTAGATTAATAGAGGTGTAAATAGCGCCACAAACGTTAAAGTAGTCCGGTCCCCCAAAACAACAAAATAAAAAATGAATATTTTCTGCGGTAACAGTTTTTGACAAAATTCAAACACCTAAAAAAAAATTGGAAAACTAAATTATGAGCACCTGGGTGCGCCACTGCCTGTGACAAGCTCGAGCCTTTCTTATTGAAAACATTTTAAATCAAATCTCGCCCTTTAGCGCACCTTTTCCTTGGATTAATCTCGCCTTTAGTGCATCTTAACCAGCTTGGATTACTACTTGTCGAAGAAACAGATGTAAGTTGTTATTACGTGTTATTATTTCCGTTGAGCAATGGGCAATGAAAGATCTCCGTATATGATCGAGTCAAGAGAATAACGAACCTGCAGTCAAGGCTACACAAGCGGTAAAGGCGACCACACCAGAGTAAAGCACCTGGCCCAAGTAAATACAAATACATGATTACTAGATTCAAAGAAGGAAACCTGAAAGAGGCATACAATTATACAATGAAACGACGAACAGAGTGGAGTGTCTACAATGACAAAGAATGAAAGTAAGCACATTTTAATGCAGCCAACAAAATGGAACCATATTCGCATGGTGCCAAAAATTTTGGAAGCGCACAAGAATACTTACGGAGAAAATCAGGAAGGACATCACGCCACATATCTTGACCGCGTGGTTGAAACGTAGTTCCAGGTACTTTTTTTGACAGGAAAACAGAAAATTACAAAAAAAATCTGTTATGATCATGATGCAAAGGACCGTTGATGAAAAAAACAAAATTATTACCTTAAAAGGGTTTCGTAATACTACTTTCAAGAAAGTTCTTCAACGGATTATCACAGCCAGTCTTGTAGAAGTGTTGCGCCAATATACGATTCCATTAACTGTTATTGTAAACATAATGAAAGAACTTATATACATGTAGTTTGTAACTAAATATTATTTTAATAACTGTTATTTGGGAGATGGTTGAACAAAATAATTATAGTAGGTTGTATCATTATGATCATGTTTGTTTTAATTTCAATTTACCTCGTAAGCTGAAGCCATACCAAGTCTGTAGAACATTGGTAGGAAGAATTTCCAACACAGAACGCCCCCCAGGAGGAAGGGGACAGCCATCCAGAAGACAGTCGGGCCGTGGTAATAGACATCAGCTGGGTAGCCTTGCAGGGAGATTCCTGAGAAGAAACTAGCAAGAAGGGAGAGAGTGACGGGAACTAATGTCATGCTGCGATCGGCTAGAATGTATGAAGCGGAGGTACGCTGACCGCCTCCTTTCAATCCGTAGTACAGACCGATGGCTACGGACGCCAGAATCATCACCCCACAGACGATGTAGTCTGCGGGTTTAAAGTAGGAACGAGAACCGAAGGCTCCATCCATGTTGTGTATCGATTGGTGAGTGATTTCAAATCTGTATCATCAAGCGAACGGTCCAATTTGAGCTATGATCAGAGAAGTGGATTCGTGTTTACAAAATACCAAGCGACTGTACACCAGCGCAGCCATTGTTCAACTTGCCAGAGTTTAACTTTGTCGTGCGTGTAGTTCAATCTATTATCAACTCATCAAACATTAAGCGAAATGGTGGAGCACGCACTGCTATCTGCTATCTGATAAATCAAAAACCCACGGTTCAAGTGGCACTTTGCATACAAACATCAGCAAATCTCACAGGAGCGGAAATTTTTTTATGGTGATATTTTTTCCGCTGGCATTTAACTTTACCCTGAATTATGACCCCACGCGGGGACAGCTGTTCACCCCGCACTTTATACCGCTGAAGCTACCACACAGGTAGTAGGTATTACATGTATTTCAATTTTACATGTATTTCAATTTTGACGTAGAAAATGTTTTTAAATGTGTTGAAAGACATCTTCATAATAGTCTGCCATGTGACAGATAATAGCTGCCCTCGTGTCAAAAAAATACCTTCTAGAAGAAAAGAGTCCGAAAAAGAATATTAAATATACCGTACAGACTATCAAAATAATAGGCAAATAACTACATTGCATATCGACACAATATCCGCATAAACAAAATAACTTCACATTAATTTCCGTTCTATGCACCTGTTACGATCATGAACCCCCAAAGTACAAGGGTTAAGGTAGGGCAGGACACGTAGAAAAACACATAGCTGTGAGTGGTCGGGCACAACCAGACCACTCTTGGATTTGTTGCGATTAATCTTTCTTTCTTTCTTTTTTTCCCGGACAATACTTCTCCGCGGGTTTTCTCTTAAACGGTAGGCCTATATGGTATGAACTTTCAATATATATCGACCCTCATCCGAAGTGGTGCATATTACTCGTCATGATTATGTCATCAGGTGTCAAAATTACAAGTGATTTTAACTGAAAAAAGTGACCAAATACTTTCACTTATAACTCTTGAACTAAACATTCAATGATGTTTGTATTCTGTAATCAGATAGACCTTTACTGTAATCGCTTGACCTTTACTCCCGGGTCTACCGGAAGGTCAAACTTAAATGAAATCAAAATGAAGACGTTAGCCTGAAATCAAAACAAAGCAACATTTCTTCCGAACGGTTCACGGTATGATCACAAAACCTTGTGTGAACTTGAACCTTGTTACGAAGATGTTATAATTTTTGTTACGCCATCGTGACGTCATAAGGTATCAAATTACAAGCGATTTAAGGGCAAATTTTGACAAAAGAAATATCTTTAGAACTAAATAGAGTATCGTGTTCGTTTTTCGTGAGGTTGTAGACTATGCCGTGAGGAACAATTCTTGTCCCCAGACACAAAACTGCTTGACCTTTACTTCCAGTGTTACCGGAAGTGCAAAAAAAAATGAATATAGCTCAAAAGCGGAAGCATTTTGTCAGATTGAGCAATTTCAGAATTTGTTTTCCATCTAAATGTAGCTTATTAAATTGGCTTTCCACTCATTATTATTTTCGGTGCTACACATTGTTTTAAATATGAAATAAAATTTTGGGGGTGTGGGTTCCATTTTTTTTATTCATCCTGTACGTTTTAATTTCAATTACCTCGTAATCTGAAGCCATACCAAGCCTGCAATAAAGAATTTCAGACACAGAACTTAACACTTCACATAACCCATAACCCAGGGATACCCATCCATGTTTATGGGGACATTTAGTTTGGTCGTAGCTGTGGGACTAATTGGCAAGATCAAAAACTCCAGATCTGCAGTGCCACTATCAGTAAGGATGTTTAGCGATCGAAGCTAGAGCTCTTGCCTTTCTGAGTCATTGTCAAGATATCCTCGTTTATTGTTGCAAAATGCTCGTTGTGTTTTATCTGTTTATAGGGCCGCATTCAGCGTTTAAAACTAGATCGAGAGGATTTTTGCCTCCTACGTACTACTGGTCTAGGGTATATGTGGGCCCATGTATATTATAGGTCGGTGCGTTGGAAGTTGAACAAAGTACCATGAATCAAGATCGTTTGTACAAGGTATATTTCCATTTCAAGTAGTACCAGCGATAAGTCAAGTATCGTGCTTCGGTATGTCAACATAGTACAATTATTCAGCCTTGACCCTGCAGTCCATATAGGCCTAATGCTGTTCCCAATTAAGCTTTGCGTTGGTATTCGAAATCGTGAACTTCATGTCTTCATGTCTGGAAGCACAGAATGTGCCGGGAAGCACACAATGCCAGGGTTAATGGTCGAAGAGGCTTGGATGTAATATTAACAGTTTACTGTCTTTTGAAGTCACGGTTGGCTAGTGAAAAAAAAAAGATTTTTTTTGTGTGTTTGGCTTTTTTTCTGGCAAATTTGTTTCGATGAAACTTTGAAAAGTTAATTATTACATTTTCTATACGAAAACACTTCTCCAAAACGTATTGCTGTTACGCAAAACATGACTTTGATGATGAAAAATGTGGTAAAATATTACTTCACCAAGGTTTACCTAGCCCCTTAGGGATAAACATGCAAATTGAGGTCAAAGTAATACATTAGTAACGGATTCGTAAAAATTCGTCAATTCATTGCGCACTGATCATTTGAAAGATTTACAGCAACGTTATCCGATGATAAATTCATCCTGTTTGTTGATAAATCTGTCATTTAAAAAAAAACCTTTACGACTCCACCCAGCTATAGCAGGTGCAATGACTCCACCCAGCTAGAAGGCACAGCGCGAAGCGCGGCGTCCCACTTGTATATGTTTAAAGAACTGCACTTTTGAATACAATGTACCAAAATGGATTTCAAATACTTGTCATAAGAGTATTACCTTGCGTCCGATCTACTTTTATTGGGAACAAGCTGGTTAATTGCCCGATAGTTTTCGACTTACGTAATTTTTTACGTGTCTGAATGTATATTTTTTATGTGCACATTGGAAGAAGAATTTCACTTTTAAAGTCTTTTAATTTGTGGACAATTAAAAGACTGTGGGATGGACAGCACATTTAGGCCTACACTAGGGGTTTGTTCATGATACTTGGCTTATGAATGCAAACTTGTGCGTCTACGTCCGTTAAAATTACCGCAAAGTGGTACATTTCAAGCTTTTGTACTGTTCCCGATTTTAAACAAATGTGTCATACGTTTGGACTATCGAAAGTTACAAGAGAACCTGGACATCGGCATTTCTTCGTTTCCCATCACACACATCTAGGGGAGAGGGAGGGGAGGGGTACGTCATGATCCAATGCCCCTGTCAAATAGTGTGGGGGAGGGGGAGGGGTATATCCTTCCCATCCTTTTGGGATTTACGCCCTTGCAGTATATGTTGCGAAGAAACTGCATTGATCGCTTTTCCCCTGATTCGCTACCTTATGTGAGGTAAAATAATATGGAAGACTTATTGTCATTTTTCACTTACCGTATGGTATAGTCTTGTGTCTGACTCACCAATAATGCCTCTCGTACTTATGATCAGTTTAGTCATATTTTCTTCACAGTTTTGGCCTACTGCCCATAAAGGGTGTGTTTATACTATCAATTACCGTTTGAATGGCGGATGGCCATCCTTGTCTGTTAACACCACGCTTAACATCTTCTTTCGTTGTCTCTCTAAATACGCTGTCCACGCACTGTTTCTTATAATACATGGCTTTTCGCAATACCGATCTTTTTCACAGTATACACTGCCGATAAAATGCATTGGCGTTTCATTGGAAGCTTCTATCTATGGAGGCTCTGAACAAAAACACTTTTAAAGAGGTGTTGAAGAATTTCCCCTGAATTCAAAGGAAAGGAAACATTAGATCTTTAAGATGCTCCTGTCGGTATTACCATGGGACTTTTAAGACGAACAACTGGGAAATTGTTGGAAAGAGGTTTCATACAGTTCACTGTAGACTCTCAATAAATCAACACCAGGGTTTTCGAGCAGAGTCGTTATTTTCTTGAATGGAAATCAGCTTGAGCTTGCTTTGTAAGAGCTTTCAACTATACATCATTAGAGTCCCATAGCTTTTTATCCTGAAAACAGCGATGGTTCTACATAACTATGCGTGCGTGAAAGGGAGATCTGTATAACTTGTTTTATCTTTGGTTTGAATCTAATTTTATTCATTTATTTAGTCCGTTTGTTGGTGGGTGGTTTGTCTGTTTGTTGTATGCTGGGGGTGAATGTGTTTGTTTGTTTGTTGGGGTGTCCTTTTGTTGTTTGTTGGGGTGTTTGTTTGCTTGTTTGTTTGACTCACTCCGCTTATGTCACCACCAATATAGTCAACACAAGCATTATGTTACCATGGCATTTAATTCCGCTTAGCTTACTCTGCAACAAACGAATGCAAAACAAAAAACCGGATAGGGCCAACGTTTGTAATTATCTGAATATGATTAGAAAATTCACGACGTTTTCTTTTAATATGTCTTCGCTTGACCGTGACTGGGTTAGAGAATTGATTTTTGAAACTTATCTTGTGTGAAACGGTCTTTAGATTTTGACTCTCTCTGACTTTTCCTGTTTTTTTTTTTTCAAATCACAATTGTTTTCCAGCCTTTCTACCATCTCAATTTAATGGTGTTTATAAGACTAAGCTATTTTCACAAGCTGTTGACAGGATCGTCCAAATCCTTTGGGATTGGTTTGTCTATAAGGTCATTAACGAATTATTTCAGTAGGTTGTACCACAAGGACAAGCCTATCGAAGGGTTTGATGAATACCGTATATAGCTGCTTGTACTTGGACTGGACAGTTCTAATAGCTTCGATAAGATCAAATTTGCATCAACGCCATCGCCCTCAATTTTCTTGTGGGCGGAGTTACTAGCTAAAAGCTTAATATAGGCCTAATATAAAACCAGACCGAAGCACTTATAGCTCGGCATCTTCATGTGAGGCACACCTCTGCTTGCTCGTGTATTGAGTGTTTCATAGATTTGTGCACGGTTTATCTGTTTGCTCCGCTATGTCTACGC